TATATAATAATTTTTTTATTATATCCTGTAGTAAGTTGGGAGCTTCTCTCATTGCAATTTTGATTCTTTCTTGAACATTTCCTACATGTGTTAATCGCATAATTACTAATCATTAAAAGCACTCTTCCACCTTTATTGAATTTGTTGTTATGATTCGATCTTGTTTGCAATTCATCTACTTTGAGGATATATCAGTTTCAACAAATAATTTCACAACTCTCTTGTATATTGATTTTCCTTTGAATAAGTTCTTTAATGTATCTAATTCTTGGTTTGGCCAAATAAAAAAATAAAAGCTCTTTAATTTATCTGATCAATTGAAAGCGGGTTAGTTGGCAAGCGTGGGGCCAAAGGAAACAGGACAACCTGTATATGTTGTTGTCCTTGAATTTGGGGGTCGGGGAAGAAGTGTGCAAAAATAAAATAGAATCATCATCATCATCATAAATCTGAGCCCCCCCTCTGAGCTTTTATGGATTTTTTTTTTTTTGGATTATTATTTTTATTCTCTAACAGAAATGAACATGTATCCTCTACCGTTTTTGCTTTACCAAGACTCATGTTTGCTTTTACACGATTTAGGTTCACAGGGGAAACTCAACCTGGCCTCATTGCTTGCGAAAATGCAGCCAAGAAATTAATTGATCTAGGGCTAGTTTTTACTCCAGTTGAAGATGCTGTCAGGGAGACGGTAGAGAGCTTGAGAGCTAAAGGGTTCGTGGGCAGCATACATTACAATCTTAATCTCTCTCTGCCTCACTCTTAATTATTATTACTCTTACAATTTTACAATCTGCTATGTTAATTAGCTGTCAGTAGGTATGAATGGAGTAAGGGGTTCGTCTTTCTCAGTTATCTGTTTTGATGATGAGTACTCTTTTTTTATATGGTGCAAGTGCAACTTTAATCCTCTATCTGGTTATCAACTACCAGTTTGAGATCAAATACAACTATATTATAAATAAATGAATAAGTTACAATTTAGGCGAGTTATCTTTTATGCAAGACTGGATGAATGGAGCCGTCATTTACCAAGATAGACCTACAAAGAGGCAGTGGCAATTTGGTATCTGTCATTTTGTATCTGCAAAGGGCACGTGATTGGGGACCTCTGGACAGATAAGGGTGTTTTATTAAGTAGGACCGATGTCGTTACCTCTATCCAGGCAAAGGTTATGTTATCTATTGGGTTGAAGCCTCCATCACTCTGGCTTTGGATTATATTTTTATGGTTTAAGTACCATTTTGGTCCCTCAACTTTTCACTTTGTCACCAAAATTGTCCCTCAGCTTTAAAAAGTACCAAAATTATCCTCAAACTTTCATTTTCGGTACCAAGATGATCCTCTTGTCAGTTAAATGACAAGTGGCACGTTAAAATTCCAGCAAATCAATTCTTTTTTTTTTCTTAACTAATGACATGGAAAAAAAAAATATAGTTGGCATTTTTTTTATGAGTTGGTATTTTCATTTAATTTAAAAATAATAATTCTTTTTTTTTTTTCACCCACATCAAATTTCTTCTTCCTCTTTCATTTTCTCTCCTTTACCTTTCCTTTTCTCTTACCTCTGCAAACCTAGGCTCTGGGTTTTCTCAAACGGTCGAGAAGCTTTGGAATGTAGGCAGTGGTTATGATCGATTCGATAAACGAGAAGAAATAGTGTGTATTTTTCGTTGGGGGTTTCTTGGAAAAATTTTTAATTGTTAATTGTGATGAAATCCAAATTTGGGTTTCAGACAAACCCATATCTGTATTTCAAACAAACTCCGTAGAACTTTGCAGCATACCAATACCAATCACAATTTAGAGTAAGACAAGAATCCAATCCTATTCTTGTGATAAAATTAATATGCACGTAAACAAGAACAATCAAACATGCCAATTCCCTAGTTACAGAAATCTAACAAATCCCACGTTCTCAGATCATGCTTAGTGGCTAGATTTAAAAAATCAAAATAAAAATTTAAACTTTTCAAATTATAAGGTTAGAACGTTTACAATTAAAATCCAGAAAATAGATTTCAAACTTGTTAAGAATATAAAAGAGCAAACAGTTGGATAAGTAGAATATCTACCTTTGATAAAGAGAAATCTAAGAGAGTAGAATCTGAGGAGAAGGAGAATCATATAATTCTGAAGGAATTCTCAATTCCTAGAAGAAGAATGAAACCCACAAATGGAAAAACAAGATTTCGCATTAATTTTACAGTTATCTATCTACCGCAAAAGAAACGCACCAGATGAAGAAAATATCTATAGCGATAAAAACAACTCCGAAACTAAAATAGGACAGTTCGGCGATTTCATCTTGCAAATTATAAATTTTTTTTGAAACCCAGATCTAGGTTTCAGAGAGGAAGAATAAGGAAGAAGAGAGAGAGAGAGAGAGAAAGAATGATCTAAAAAGCCGTCTGTGCCATCCACCTCAAGAAGGTACTAGACATTAATCTCTCTTCAGTGGTCTCTATAACCGTTGCTGGTTCAACAAGCCTGAGAAAACCCAAATCTCTCATCTCCCTTCTCTTCTAATAAATGGATATATTCTGCTTTTCTCGTCCACTACTCCACAACCACCTCCGGCGTGAGTTCTACAACTAGGAATCGTCGCTCTTCTTCCTCCACCTCTAATACTTCCGGCCGAGAAGCCATCCGCGCCATCCACCTCAAGAATGTACTGGACATTAATCTCTCTTCAATGGTCTCTACAACCGTTGCTAGTTCGACAAGCCTGAGAAAACCCAGATCTAGAGAGGAAGAAGGGAGAAGAGAGAGAGAGAGAATGAATAAGAAGAAGAAAAAATGATGATCTGATTTTGATTTTAATTTTGTAGAAGTTGTAGGTTTAGGGTTTTGAATCTGAAAAGGAAACGAAAGGAGAAACGAAAAAAACTATGATTTTTGGGGAACTTGATTGAAACTGGAAAAAGAGAAAACAAATTTTTATGTGGGCCCATTAAAAAGAGAAACTGAGAAGATGATAATCTGATGTGTAAAAAAATACCACAATGACAATATTTTCTTTACTGGATATACACGTCATTAAAATTTTAAAAAGCCAATGATTTTGTGGCATCTTAACGTGTCACCTGTGCATTTAACTGACGGAATAACCATTTTGGTACTAAAAATGAAAGTTTGAGGATAATTTTGATACTTTTCAAAGCTGAGGGAAATTTTTGGTATCAAAGTGAAAAGTTGAGGGACCAAAAAGGTACTTAAACCTATTTTTATTTCATCCTCGGTCATTGTTCTTTATTTTTATCTTCTAGAAAAAAAAAAAAAAAACAAAACAAAAGGGCTACCAACAATCCATGTGCCTCATCCTCCCCACCTTTGGTTCTCGTTGTTTTTTAGTGGCAAAAACCAACATTTAGCTCTTTATCTTATAAAATTTGTAAGTTTTAACCCTTCACCTTATAACATGACACTTTTAGTCATTTACCTTACAAATTTGGTAGGTTTTAGGTTTTAACCCCTCACCTTATAAAATTGGTAGGTTTAACATTTCACCTTATATTATGGTATTTTTAGCCTCTCACCTATACGAATTAAAGAAAATAATTCCCACTTAATATTAGATTATAACATTCTATTGGTTCTGTTAGCTAACTGTTAACATCCGTTAGCATTTCGTTATAGAAAACATGAAATTTAAATTCAATTTTATTTGTTAGTTCCATTAACGGAATGCTAACGGATGCTAACAGTCAACTAACAGAACTAATAGTCAATTAATAGAACTAACAGAATATTATAACTTGATGTTAAGTGACAGTTATTTTATTTAATTCGTATAGATAAGAGGCTAAAAGTGTCATAATATAAGGTGAAAGGTTAAAACCTACTAATTTTGTAAAGTGAGAGATTAAAACCTATTAACTTTGTAAGGTAAAGGGCTAAAAATGTCATATTATAAGATTATGGGTTAAAACCTACCAATTTTATAAGATAAGGGGCTCAAATTGGTTTTAGCCGCTTTTTAGCAAGGAAACAATCTATCTTTTATCTACGTAGTGAGGGAGAGTGTGTGTTGCTGTTCCAAACTAATCATGGAGGTTCTTCTGGCACTGCATGTACGTTAGGCGTCACGGCCCACTGCGCATTATTCTATATATGCTTCTCAGCCTGTCCTTCTAACCAATCTTTAAGCTTCCTTGCCTTATTTGTTTCTTAAGCATATGTACACATATATCTCAATTTCCGACTTGCAACTTGCAATGAACAGTCCAGCGACTTGTGGCCGCTCTTGGTAATTAACTTCTGCTTCACTGTTGCATAAAGTCGTAATTAGAAATTTCTAACTCTTTCTCTCTTGATTTTCCAAAGGTCCATCAGCAAGGACTCACTGAGAAGGTACGTGCAGTTTGCAAGTGAGAGTTGTACCTAGGAGTTACTCTCAGTAATGTATAATTTAAATTATAAAATATAAATTTCAACTAATAATTTTTATTTTAAAATTTATTGATTAAAAGGAGGGAAAATTAAAAACTTAAACAATAATTGAGTCAATGGTATGTGGATTGAGTCTCATGTTTGTGGCTAGAGATCTAGTGATTAAGTCCTTTCATTGTATTGTTTCTCTTCATTGCTTAAAAAAATGAAGTAAAAACTAAAAAATAACAAATTCAAACGGGCTCTAGCCTACCCCCAAGTCGGGGGTCCGGTCCTGCACCTCAGACCTAATATTTAAGACCGGCCCATTACTTATGGTCTCATGCTACGGATTGGGTCAATGGGCTTGGTCTTGAGCTTTGACCGGACCTAGCCGAGTCTAAACGACCCCGGTGCACCCATTCGTTGAGAACCTCCAAATGTGGGCGGTTAAATTTAATGAATGCATTAATTAATTAAAATCTATTTTGTAAAACCTTAGCCACACATCTCTCCCTCTCCCTAAACACCTCCACCATTTTTTTGCTCTCTTAGCTCCTTGCCGTTGCCTCTATTCCCCAAGGTAGCATAAATGAAGGTAGGATTTTCTTTCTTTGAATTACTCTTCTCTCTCTTTGGAAGTTTTTGTCTCGACTCTATTGATATATTTTCATTAGGTCTTGCCTGTGGTGAGCGAGGAAGACAGCGCAGAAGTATGGATAGTGAGGCTCGGTCAGATTGCAACGCTTGCATAGGTTGTCAACAACATGGTTAGGTGGTGGGGTCTTTGACTAATTTTTTAATTTTTCATCCTAGAAATTCGAGTATCAGATAATGCTTTAAATGTACAATTTAGTCTTACTATGGAGTTTGAAACTAACAATTACTAATTTGATTTAATTTAATAAATAATATTATTTAAATTAATAATTATCATTATTATTGACTATTAAATTAAACAACTTTACTAACAAACCTTTATATCAAATAGCCCATAAATCTATTTATTCCCCTATTGCAATTAATTATATAATCTTTGATAATTAATGTTTGTATATTTTTTTTGAACAAATTTACAAGGAGTCGGATTTGAACCGTTACCTAAAAAAAAGAGAGAATACATTTAATGGGTGGCCTAATGCCACTAGGCCGAAGGCCCAAATGCAATTAATGTCTCTATACTTAATTGTCCATATATATCAAAGTCATATTAGTGCTATAATTAAGTTTTACTTCACTTTGTTATGTTTGTTATGCCTATAAGGCAAACTTCGTTAAGATATTTATGTAATTTTTTTTTAATATTAATGAATCTCTTGAATTTTTATGAAAGTTTAAAATTTGTTTTATCGTGTCACAATAATGGTCAAAATGGCAGAGAAAATCAAGCGGAGGATTTTGCGAAAAAATAGAAGGCGTAATGAAGAGATAGGGGTTTTTCCTTTCTGGTGAAAGAAGAGACAGGAGTTGATGAAGAAATAGTTGTGATAAGACCTTTCCATTAGATGGCCATTAAGATGAAGATGAATATGCTTTCTGGGACTTGGTTATCTTCTCACAAATAAGTTATAAAGCCACATAAAAATAATAATAGAAGTGTATTTAATTTGATTATTAAAAATAACTGATAATTATAAATATTATATAGTTGTAAATAAAATAGTTAGTATTCATTATATAATAATTTAAAATTAGATAATAAATCAATATTTTCAAACACTTTTTCAATTAATAATTGATATAATTAAATAAATTAAACACATTTGTAATATGTTATGCGACTATAACAAAACTTTGTATAGCCATAACATGGCCCCGTTTTCAGTGATGCTAGTCAAAGCTAATAAGCTATAGATGAACTACGATCCAACTTTGATGGTGTTTGGGATTTAGGATTTGAAGACGAAAGTGCTGAGGACAGTGGATCTGAAGAGAACCAGTTAATAGTGAACAACTGCATACTCTAATTTGGACTGTGGTAGATTTTACAGTAGGTTTAGTTTGATTGTGATTTTAAATTTTTTGTTTTGATTTTTATAAATTTTGTAAATATAAATAAAAAAACTCATTTACTTTTACATGTTTTTACAACATATTATCTTGATTATTAAACAGATAAAAATAAAAATAATTTTAGTATTATTAAATAAATTTATATTTTTATTTGTCAACGTTAAAATTTATTTTAAATAAATTTTTTATTTTTTATTTTTTAATTACTTTTTAATAATTATAAAATTTATAAAAATCCTAACTTATAAAACATAAACTACAACCTTATTAAACAACATCTTAAGTTGCAATTATATTGTATGATTGTAGTTTTCTAATTTTGATTTTGCTTAATTCAATTATTAATCTATTAACTATTATATTTAATTTCGAAAGTTAGTTTTCTTTTTAAATTATCTATAAATTTTATAAAATATTTCAAAATAATCTACTATATAAAACCTCCATTAGATTTGATAAAAAAAAATAACAAAAGAATTAAACTAAAAAATTAAATTAGAGTAGTTCCAATAAGCAAAACAATCTATGATATAGTGTGCAAACTATTAAAATATACCAATAATTGTAATTTCTACTAAAAAAAATTGTCAAGAGAAAAAGTTGAAACAGTATATGATAAAGATAATTATCCTTAAGTTGTGACAAAAAACTTATCATCTTCATAAAGTTAATTTCATTTTAAAATTAATTTTAAGAAATAAAAATTTATAAAACAATATAATTAAAAATCATTTTGATCAAATAAAGTGAAACTATAGTTAGAAAATTAACATAATAGATTAAACTAAAATAAAAATAAAAGATAATAAATGAATCTAAAAATATTAAAAAATAGTAGACAAAATAGAAAAAAAAATTATTAGACTGTTTATTATATTAAGTCTTTTGATTTTAATTTTAAAAAATCTTAGAAACTACTGAAAACTAAAAACCATTAAAGACAAAAATTATAAAATTTATGAAATTCAAAACTAAATATAAGAAACCACAATCATACAAAATAAATCCTTTGAAGACAATAGATGTTTTCAAGAAAATGATGCACATAGTTTTATTTGTCTACTTGGACAATGCCTGACGAGAAAAGGACTACCATAACCTGCTATAAATTTGAAATCTGTTTACTTTTCGAGCTCGCTTGGAGTACTGGATTAGACAAGATTCGTTAAGGTTTTTAAAGACTGCATTGGATTGCACTAGATAAGAAATGTATATTTAAATTCAATGTCAGGTTTGGTTGATAGTTGAATTAAATAGAATTTTACATAAAAATATTATTTATTATGGATAAAATTATCCTTATCACAATTACACTGATCAAAATTTTATTTTAATTTAGTTTACAGCATAATGATATTATTAATTAAATGGCTGAAAAATATAACAAAAGTCCAGTTAATTACCTTCAATATTTTACTTTGTTTCCACAAAAAAATTCAAGTTAATTTTCATCAAAAGTATTTTCCTTTGTTTTCCCAAGAACCAAACAACCAGACAAAGCATATATCCTCATTTTCAAGCTGAAACCAAATTTTGTTTTCGAATATATCTAAATTCCACAAAGTAGATTGATAAAGCAAAAAATAATGAAATTTGCTATGATTTTCCAAATTTCATTAAATTCAAAAAAAAAAAAAAAAAAAAAAGAGGATGAAATGAAATAGAGCATGACAAAACCTTTAACAGCATGAATTCCATAAAGCAAATTCTGAAAAATTAAGTAAAAATTAAAATTGTAAAATCCGATTCACTGGATAGTCTCAAATTTTCATTAATAGGTTTTAATTTTCAAAAAACAACTCGAACGAGCAAAACCCATCTAATATCCTTTGACAAATTCAAAATAACAGAGGTTAGAAAGACACACAACATAGAGGCACAAATAATTTCTATACTCACTTCATATCTACAAGGTAGTTGAGTATCGATCCGAGAAAAGATGTTGGAGAACCACTAAGAAGCCACCAAAATTGCAGCCAAAAAGGAACCTCCATGCCCCAATCCTGGTTATTTTTTCACTCTAATTCCTGCAATTGATCTTGTTTGAGTCTTAGGATCTAACAAAAATTGAGGAAAGAAGGCTGGGAGGAGGAAGAAAGGGAGAAGAAAAGAGAAGAAGATGCAAGAGGAGGAAGAAGAGGTGAAGTCGCAAAGAAGTGGAATGAGAAGGAAGAAGATAAGGAGCTGGTTCTGAATGTTGATGGAGGAGATGGGTTCCTATGGCACCGGCATGAAAATCTAGGAAGGGAAGAGAAAATGATTGGCTAGAGGAGAAGGGTAAAAAGTGAAAACAAAATTTAATCCCGAGTTAACTCATGAGGTACGTGGGATATAATTCATTTAATAAAGACAGGATTGGATATAAGATGGGATATGCATCATCCCATCTCTTTAGCCCACCAAACGTGGGATACAGTGGGATTGGACAAAAAATATATCCTATTCCACTGTTTAGCCAGGGCTCCAAACGAGCTCTTCGGGTTCGAAAATTCTTGATGGAGATGGAACAATGCAGATTAGGAGTGCAAACAATGTTCTGTCCGTAAAGTCAGTGTTCCATTTTGATTTCACATTCTAATCAAGTAGTGTCAAAGAGTGTGCTGTCCCACCAAGAAACAATTTGCCAAGCACAAAAATTGACTGCTGAAAAAATGAACAAATCAAATGTATTGAAATATAAGCACCTATTGCACACATTTATGAGCCAAACAAATCAAAAATAGGCAAAACGCAAGAGCAGGGGAGGGAACAGTTTAGCTTTGAATTATATGATCGTATATTAGACAGGCAGGCGCCAGGTAGTAGAAGATTTTACTAGGGGTACTAGGAGCCATCACCATCCCAAGCCTCTCCATCATCTAGAGCATCTATGCAGCTACAAACACGCAACTTGTAAGAAAATTAGATGTTGATAGTGGCTTCCCATAGTCTGAGAAGTCCATTCCGACCACCACTGCATATCCTTTTCCTTTCCAGGTCCGAAGCAATGCATCTTACCTGTAAGGATGGTGATGAACACAAGGAACAGGTTAATAAAAGATTATTAAAGCTGTAAAGCAGCAGGCTGAAGGCAACTAATAAAATTCAGCGCAGCTACAAAATGGGAAAGATATACATCGGTACATAAAGAATGATTATTCAGTCAAAATCACGAGTTTTAAACATCACCCAATGATTATCCAGTTAAAATCTTACAAGTTGAAGGTTAGCAGGTGAGCATAATATCTTTTAAGGTTGGTTCGAGAATCAGAGGGGTTTTAAGTACTTGATAATTAATAACCAGTTCAATGGTTAAAATAAAGCTATTACCAAATAAAGGAAACAGTAGATGGCCAAAGATAAAATGGGAAACTGTAGATTGCATACAATTCTCATGCATGCAAATTAACCACAAAAACCACGATAATTGTAGCATAAAAATAGACTTCTTGATCATAGAGGAAAAAATCAGCATACCACTGCACTTGTCCTTTGTGGTGTCCGGTAAAGTTGCCACCCACCCATTTTAGATCCAGGGCTAGAGAGGCCCCCAAGTCTCTCTTGTGGCCGATTGAAGAGAGACATAGAATTGTCAGCTGCTCCAATTCCTAACCAGTGTTCCCCAGCGTTGATAGACAATATAGCGCCTGTATGAATGGTAACATTCTTAACGGATTTTATACCTCCTGCATACATGATAAAAAGGTAAAGCCTCGAGTCATGTCATGGGGAACAATAAAAAGGAACCAGTAAAATAACAAAAAGTCAATTAATTTAGTAATATATTATAAAGATAACTACAAAAATGATATGATCAGTAAGAATAGTAAAGAACAAACACCAGTATTTCCTTGATCAGACAATAATTGTAAACTTTCTTATCAGTTACTTTTCATAGTGGAAAAAACAAAACCAAACAATGTCCAGCAAATGGCTAATAGATGATTGCCACACTTACCCTCTTCATTTTCCCAGAAGCGAAGTAGCCCATCAGTTGAACCTGAAAGACATTACATTTAGAGAATTATCTTTCTTTTTAGCAGAAGGGACAACTCTTATGCAGATGAACTTAACCATCATCAGTAGTAGACATTTAGAGCCTACATCAAATAAATTAACAGAGGTTTTCACCTGTTATTATGCCTTTGTCTAGTGGGGAACACTCAACAGATAATATTGGGCCAGCATGACAGGAAAGAACAGCATCACAGGTTCCTCGAGAAACAGACCATATCCTAGCTGTCCAATCATCACTACCAGTAATCACAGTGTCTCCAACCATTCTAATTGACCTGCATAATTAACACATGAGCAACTTATTCCCTACTGATCTAACCAACAAAAATGTATGTCAGATTATTTTCCTGACCTTATCCACTTTGTATGTCCCAAAAACTTGTGCATCTGCCTACCAGCACGGATGTCCCAGATGTTTGCTACTCTGTTGGTACAAGTATTTTCCAGGTTTCAAGATTGCAAGACTTACATTTTTGTCTACAATAGAAAGCATTATTGCTATTCCAAAAACTAAATATACGTACGCATCTCTGCCACCTGCAGCCAAAATCCCAGTGGAATCATCATACTCCATGCACAGGACTGCACTGGAGCAACGACCAACTGTTGCCACACACATATCACTTCGAACATCCCACATTTTCACAGTTCCATCATGGGCAGCCGTAAGTACACGTTCACCTGACAGCATCCGCACATTGCTGACCTAAAATCACAAAGAAAAAAGGCTTATCTCTGGTTTGAACCATCAAATCTATATACTTTCAACTAAAAAGATTAATAGTTTTCTTTAGATTTGAGCTAATACAAATAATGAATGAAAAGTTTATTACAAAGGTAGTGAAAGTGATAATTCACAAACTAATACCAAAACCCAGTGAGGAAGACAGCAAAAGACCCTAGTCAGGATGATTATATCAATGTTTAAATAATAATAGTTCCCAGGTATAGCGGCTGAAAGAGATTGCCCACATCTAAGTTTCTATAAGGGAAAAAACAATTTAAATAAATGGATATTATTCTTGAAAACAATGTATGATATCTCATAATAAGACATTATCCCAATAAACTTCAAAATACATGATAAGATTAAATCTCTATGTAATTTTTGTAATCAAATTGTCTGTTAAAAGAGGCTTATGAAGATAAGGTTCTAGCTTCATCAATATCTGATGCTTTGCTGCATTGAGTTAATCTAATCTAGCTTTGTAACAAGAGACAACACAACTATTGCGGAAAGGAGATGTTTTTATATCCCTGGAAAAATTGATAAAATACTCATCGACAAAAGAAACCAGATTAAAGATGGGTCAAAAGCAATAGATTAAAGAGATGATATGGAGGAGTGTATAGATTCAAACCTTGCTTGGCAACCAAGATTTATACTTTCTTTTTACCTCTTTCCCTTCTGTGTTAATCTAATGATTTTATTGCTAAATGCCCAAAACAATTATCTTCCCCTTCTGTTGCATCTTCAAAGTTCAAGTTATCATAAACAAAACTCAAAAAGAAAAAGGGAAAAAAATCAATGAGTAAACTATATCTATATTGATGAATCATAAGTATATCATTTTACAATGACTACCCTTTTATCACTGCAGACTCAATGTCACTGGCTAAACAACCAAGATTGATGGCATATAACTGGATTATGATAAATCAGTTAATTTCAGTGTAATTTTCATGCACACCAATAGATACAGACATATGACATCAAGATTCACGAATCCCAATGTGCAGACTAAGGTTTGCCCCCTTTTTTTCACTTTGGCTTCAAACAGTGTGCAGAGACCTTAGCACTTCTACTTCACAATCAAAGGTATGATAGTCTAAGTAAGCAAACCTGTGCCTCGTGACCCTTCAGCTCTTCCAGAAGCTTAGATGTCTGCTTGTCCCATACAAAGACAGAATGATCATCAGAACCCGATACAACCTTTCCCCTATCAGAACTAATAGCTCGAATAGTTCTGCATCACAAAGCATTGGAGAAAGGATTTTAAACTTGATATGAACGAGTCACAATAGAAAAGGAAAAAAGGATCAAGAAGAATGAGAAATTGAATATATTGACATTTATATTCCAAAAATGATCAAAATTAAATAATAACCCTGTATGTCCTTTCAATGTTGCACGAAGTTCAGAACCACGAAGACTTGGATCCCAAATCCTAACCTGCACTATTTTGACAAGCATAAGCAGTAGGAAGAAGCAGTACTTAAACAGGACACTCCATGCATATCAATTAAGAAATTACGTAACATATTGATTTAACTAGATGAGAATGATCAGTCAGATAATGCATGCATTATGCAGTAATGCAGAGGTAAAATTGATTGACGAGCGTGAAAGAGAAATATATGTGAGACCGAAAAACTCATGTTAGTCAACTGCCTAAAACATCAAGATAAATCAGGCGTGCTATTTATGAATATCATCTGGTGCTGTTATTGTAAAGAAAAATCAGTGCAGAATAATTCAGCATTTGAATTGGATTAATTGCCATATGGTTAGATCTAACCCATTGAGTTCATAAAATAATTAGTGTCGAGAACAACCTAAAAAATTTGAAAGCAAAAATCTATACATTTTGAATAAGAAATGCTATCTTACTGAACAATCAGTGCTCCCACTTATAAAGAAACCTGCACCCTCACGGTCACCCACCAGATCCCACACCTCTCTTCTCGTTACACAATGTAAGGCAGTAACAGCACCAGTGTGACCCCTAAGTACTCTGATATTGGTTTGCATTTTCTTCTGCCCAGCAGCAGATAAATCTTGTTTCCGAGGTGTCCCATTCTCTGTTGAGTAAACTCAATGAACGAAAGCCACAATATAGTAGATAACCCAAATATAAAACATTAGAACTATTAAGAGGCAACTAAAAACATACCTGAAGCACCACCATCAGAACCCCATTTACGAACACGGCTAAAAGAGTTTGCTCGAGATGCTGTATCTCTGCTGAACATGCTTTGAACCCAGCTCCTTCCAACACCGGACGCCTCTGCAGGTTGTTCATTCTCATTTGTAACATCCTTAGGACGTGGGGATGAAAGACCATGGGACAACATTGATTGAGGCTTAACAGCTGAGATGCCCCAATAACCAATGCGAAGTTGCTGGATATGCGACAAAAATCCTCTAAGTTTTATCTGAAAGAAAGATGAGTAGACTAGTTAAGCTCTTGTAGCTGAGGCTCATTTGCCTAAGATACAGGAAAAAAGAAAAAGAAAAAGAAAAAGAAAGAGGAAGAAAAAAAAGGGGGGTGGTAAAAGCAAGAATGAAAAAATAAACTAAGTTGTAAAGAATATAGACTAAACTAATTACCACTCAAACCAATTTCACTTGAGTTACAATAGAAAGAAAATGCACGAGATGAAAAATAAATTTAGAAAAGAAGACAGATATTCAGATTCAAGGACAAAGAAAGTAAACAAAGGCAAAAAAAAATAGAAATAAAGTAACCAGAGAGAAGTTTCATCATAAAATAATTGCTTAGAGATAAATCCCACTTCCCATTTCCACACTCCAAATTACTTTAGAACAAATTGGGTTAAGCACATACTTAAAACCCACAGATCTTGCACAGGACTGGTCATAAAAAATTAATAAAGATTTAACCATAGAGTAAATAATTACCTAACCAGAGGCTAAATACGGATTATCAGATCAAGCAATACAGCCAGAACAATCGAACATTGCACAAAAAGAAAAAACCTGGTATTAAGGGATCCAGTCTATAGACAATCCTTCAGCCATGGACCATAAGATTGGTGGAAAAGAAGCTAGTATGCTACTCCAAACCTTAAATTATATTTTCAATGAAGATTAACTTACTAACTGCTTGTATCCAATATTATTTTTCTCTGCTACTGTTTCAATCATGTACCAAGCATCCACATCATTGAGTCCAAGCCCAGCCTTCAAGAAGACAAAAAACAAGATAAGCACTTAAGTATAAAAATTACAAAATGGCTTAAGTAGGCTACTTTCTAATTCTGCAATGAGCAGAAGACTATAATTTAAAAAACAAAGAACGCTACCATGTGTGATGCCAATACAATTAGTTGTGCCGTCACCAGAGTCGCATAATTGGCCGATCTGAATAAATAAACAAATTATAATGGTAAGTTTTACTTCCAAATTCTTACAGCAGTTTATAAGCATATCCATTTCTTAATTAGCAAGTGACACCATACACACTCTTAACCAATTTAATAGCTTATCTTTGGACTTAGAGATTGAATTATGGAATGAACAAGAATTTTGTTGAAAAGAAATAAAAATCAGGACAAAGGGCTAAAATGAAATGTGATTCATCTCCGGGCACCCTAAGGATTTCAGTCAAATTTAATCCCAAGTTTGGAGAAAGAGGATAACAAGAAATGAGATTCGTCTCCCTGCACGATAGAGATTTTAGTCAAATATGATCCCAATTAGCATATAGGCAAAGAATTTCCATTCCTGATTCTCCTGCTTCATGAGGATGCTTTTATGCTCAAGATGTTTTATGGTATTGGATCAAAGTTGTTAATTTTCAAATTTCTCAAAGTTTCTCAAATGACCTTTTGGTTTTCTACCTTTCAACTCTCAATCTTGTTCATTTGACTATCTCAGTAGTCAGACATAATGCAATGATAGACCCAACATAATTAAAATTTGAGATTGGAATTTTCATTTTTGATGTGCCTATCTACTCATTAATTTTACTTTCTCTGATATCTAACCTAGTCAGGTGGAAGCTAATTTAAGATCAAGAAATTTTGCACCACTGTAAACAGCATAACTCAATGGGTTCTGCAAAAAATAAGAAGAAGAAGAAGAAGAAGAAGAAGAATTGGAATTTTCATTTTTGATGCTCCTATCTACTCATTAATTTTACTTTCTCTAATATCTAATGTAGTCAGGTGGAAGCTAATTTAAGATCATAACGTAGTCAGGTGGAAGCTAATTTAAGATCAAGAGAAGAAGAAGAAGAATTGGAATTTTCATTTTTGATGCTCCTATCTACTCATTAATTTTACTTTCTCTAATATCTAACGTAGTCAGGTGGAAGCTAATTTAAGATCATAATGTAGTCAGGTGGAAGCTAATTTAAGATCAAGAGAAGAAGAAGAAGGAATTTATCAAAATCATGTCCAAGCTGACCCAACTTCATGTTTATTCAATGTAGGCTGATTAACAATAACTTTGCAAAGTCAAGATGAAAATATCAAAATCATGTCCAAGCTGACCCAACTTCATGTTGATTCAATGTAGGCTGATTAACAATAACTTTGCAAAGTCAAGATGAAAATTTCATGAACTAGACTCTTAGCTATCTTCAGCCTCTTTTTCTCTTCCTTCCAGCATGATGCAATCATGACCCATAGGAAAGTCTTGGAAGAAAAAATTATTTTATTCTAAATTTTGCAACTTTAAAATATTCATGAAAGAAAAAACACCAAAGCCAAGAACTAATTAAAAGTATCAATTGCATCACGGCATGAGAAAATGAACAAATAAAAAAATCAGAAAGCATATCAAATGGTTTAAAATGTAGATTCTTACTTGTTTGAAAATCTTTCCATTAAAAAGTCAAAATATCCTTCCCAAAACCTGCAGCATCATTGTAGTAAACTAAATAAGTTTCTTACCAATAACAATAATAATAGTAATAGTAACAAGACTGCAGTATTCCTCATTAAAACACACAGGATGGTAACAGGCAAGTAGCAGAAAGAAGGACTACCTAATAAACACTTCTCCTGGACAAATTAAAAGAATCCAAGTGGCAGAAATAGTGAAATTAGATAATGTTTCTTAATTTATACAAAGGGAAAGAGTCTGTTAATGAGAGCTATTTTATGCTAAAAACAGTGCTTATTAACATAAATCAACTTAAAAGAACATAATCAAGTAACATCTCAATTATTAATGAACCAATCAAGTCCTAACTGTGGAAACGTGATGATCACAACAGCAAATCAAATCCAGTAAGCAATGTCATTAAAACATACCGTAACTCCTCCCAGATAGATAGAGAAATTAGATGGCGCTGGACATAATCTGAAACATTATTAGCATCTTTCTTATACATCTCAGCAGATACCTCCAGCGCATCTCTAATGGTCAAGATGTCATTCCGAGAAGTTGCACGACCAATTGCAGTTTTAAGCTGAATTTAAGAATAAATAAATATTCAGGGAAATTTGCAGCTAATATTTATAGGAAACACGATTCATTAATATGTAAGAAACAATTAAACACCTCAATGATTTGAAAAGTCCTTTTGGAAGCTTGTGGAAAATTCAATCTCAATCAAAATATATACTGCATTTTCTTTTCTAGCTGTTGGCTTATATTTTATTTTTATTTTTTTTTTGATATCCAAGTACCTGGAGAGGGCAAGTCCCACTTGGCTCACCCCTCACTGGCCATACCCAATACTGCCATACTAGGCAAAGCTGTGGATTGCCAATGGCAGGGTTCCAACCTAAGAGGTGCACCCAATCCACACATCTCAATTGTCATTCTTACCACTGAGCCACCCCTCCTTGTGGTGTTCCTTTTTGGATGTCTTGAGAAAAAGTATGGTAGAATTGAAAGCTTGAAAAAACTTGCTAGATAAAGACCAAGTGAGCAATAAGCAAAAGATTTCTCTGTTTTTTACCCAAAAAGGAGCATGGTCACCCCATTTACACACTGTTTGAAAGCAACTCTTTTTCAAAATCCAATTTTTCTGAAAATTATGTCAGAGGCAAACTAACAGCTCTGTCCAGAAAAAAAAATCCAGATTACAGGAAATCCTACTAAACCAACCACACTTCTCATTTTTAAATTATCTGGTTTCCAAAACAGAAAATAGGGTATATCAGGTGGCTCCAAGATAAAGAAAGCATGATTTTCTTTACAACTAAAAGAATATCACAAAGGACATCAAATTTTGAATAAATAAACAAGTATCTACATACCAGTTCTTTCACTGCAATAAACTGTTCCTCAGTCAATTGGCAGTGCCATCCCTGAGCACAAAGATCCAGCATTACATTAACATATGCACGGTAAACATGAATCAGAGAGATGCTTTCTTATAGGTGGACTTACTGAATGTATGTGCTCCCTTATACACTCAACAAATCCACTACCACCAATGCCTTCTGCGTCAGACTCAATTAAAGCTGTGATGCCAAAAATGAATTCTTGTTAATGAGAAATCTATTTGAATCACAAAGCATATAGAATTCAAGACTAATATGCATAAGTTTTCTGTTCCATTGTATCCATGAAAATCTATACCAAGTATTGTGCCATATTCAAATGATGAAAGTGGATCATCAGTTGCTCCTAATTTCAGAAGTCGCAGCCATAACCCCTGTTTAAAAGGCAGATCCCAAAAATTAAGACTCTACAAATATGAATGATCAACAGAAGACCATTATAACAATTTCAGCATCATAATGAACTGAAACAGAAGCAAAGCAAACTCCCTTTTCTTTAATTTAGACAGAAAGCAACCAGGATTTTTTTTTCTATAAAAAGGTTCTTTTTCCTTTCAATTTGATATGTTACGAGGCTGAGCTCCTTCAACATTCTTCTCATACCACCATGTAAAAAGCAATTCATATTACTAAAACATTCGCAGCAGTCTAGTCAATATAAAAGGCAAAAATACAACCATATACATGATGAATCAAGTCAAGGGAACTTTACATGCCAGTAATTCCAATATGGACTTTAAGATGCTAGAATCAATAGGAAGAACACAATAAAAGAGTACAAATTGAAAAAGAAATAAGACATGTAGTATTACCTGCAGCTTAACTTTTATGTCCAAAACCATGCGCTCCCTTTCTGCCTGCAAACAATGATATTTAAATTCATTTAGGGCAAGCCCTAAATTACAGAAAAGCAGGGGCATCATTGTGATATAAAGAACTTACAGCCCTCTCTATTGAACTTATAGACGGTGAATTGCTGAGGAAAAGCAAAAAATATATCAGATGCTACATATGAAAACATACAAATCGTTTTCTTTTTTTTTTTAATCAACATGAAAACACAAATCTTAATCCATCGTTCATGCAAATATACCTGGGAACTTGCTTTCCTGAGTACTCAAATGCCCCAGTCGCTGCTGCAAGAATCTGCTTCCTCTTTTCCTCTTGCTCTTCGGTTCTGATGTTTGAAGGAAATCGATCATAAGTATATTTGGCACCTGATCCTGAAGAATAGAAGCAATTGAAAATGATTATTTTAATCCACCTTAGGCTGTCTTAAAAGATTTTCACTCTTAACAAATTGATTTAAACAGATGAGAAGATGCAATAAATTGATATATGCCTGATATTCCCATGTCTGTATCTGATATAGTTATGATCTCAGGTTCCACCAAAGATGAGGAGAAAATAGAAAACGGATTTTGACCCCTCCCAATTGCATCTTGCAACTTGTCTAGGAGATTATTATTGTTTTCTTCAGAAACCATGCATCTCTCAAGAAAATCCAAGAAACCATGGGAGTCTAAAAACTGTGATATCTGTATATAAACCAAAAAAAAAAGAGAGTATGTAGCATGAGGAAACTGAATTCGCAAAAGGATTAAAAAAAAAAAGTATCAGAAAAAAAAAAAAAAAAAAAAAAAAAATCTAAAAAATGCTTTAAAGAGCCAATCCAAACAACTTTTTTTGGCTTAAGTATTCAGCACAAGTGACAATGGAGGGTAGGTTACAGAGACAGAAATCACACAACCACCTCACTCAAGGAATTACTGACTGGAGAAGGGCCTGAAGAGCCTTTGTTAACCATACCTTCCACCCTAACTCAGCCAAACTATACATAATTTGAAAAGGAGGTAATCTAAGAATAGCAGATAAACATAAATGTTTGTTCAAAAATGAAAAGGATTTACAACATCTCCAAAGTTAACCACTAGCCATTTACAACTACGTATGAAAACAATAATTATTAACAGGAAGAAGTGGCATCACCATAGGCTCTGGTGGTTGGTTTGTTGACCGAGAGCGCTTCTTCAAAAATGCTTGAGTATTGAAAGGGCTAGCAGCTGTATTTTCCTACAGAAAAGGATTTTACCAAGATATTTAGATGAGACCACACCAAAAGAAAGAGCCAAATTCACAAAAATTCTAAGATATATTCATACTATGAAATTGCGGTAGCCACCTAAGATTGATGCAAAGAACTTTAGGAATATTAACCTGCAAACAGAATCCAAATTGAATAAATTAAAAAGAATAAAATTTAAGCTTCTACTTAGATGTAACATTTAAATCTGCACTAACATGTCAAAAATTATGATATGTACATTAAACATGACAAACATTCAGACTAATGTCTCTATAATAAGCAAATATAGCCCAGAAGAAAGATTGCCAGAAAGCATAACAACTTTTGTGAATAAATGTAGAATATATTATAGCTATAAAAATGGATACATTGACTAATTTTATAGCATTAATATATAGTAGGGCAACTATGATGGTTACTTCTGTGCTTAAATTCAACTGGCCAAGATCATTTTTAAATCATGGAATTATTTAAAACAAGACAAATAATGAAAAAATCATTTAAAGGATAACACAGCAATTCCCCAGAATGCATAGATCAGTGCCTCGAGGTGCACAATATGACATCTCAGATTAGGTACCAACATGGGGTTCCTATGACACAATAAAGTCTGAAATTTTTAACACATACAATCATGAAACCTTCCATTGATCATTGATCATATAATCTAAAATTATTCCCATACCCATTTAGAAAACAATTTATACCAAATGCTAATCTTTCTAGTAATGGGTCAACAATGTATAAGCCCTTGACAAGTAATGACAAAGATTAATACTATTAGTCAAGACATGCAACTAGAAACTATAGTGTTTAATCAACAGAACAGGAACAGGAAATCAGAGATGAATCACCAGAATAAATGAGTGTATCAGGATTCCAAACAGTAGACTATGGCTCTAATATCATGTTAGATTACTATCTTTCCCAACTGATATGTAAGAGCCCAACTAACTTGTCTATATTTCTTAAAATTCCTTGCAACTTTCCAGCTGAGTTTTTGCGTGTTATCTAAGCAAGTGCACATGCAAACTAGGTGCAGAATTTTAACCATAGAAGTGGTGCAAACAGGACTTTAAACTGTTGACCACTATATTAAATGATACATTGCAATGACTCGGAAGTTAAATATGCAAGCAGGCATAAATGCAAGCCAAAGACAAGAAATGCAAAACTAATCAAACCCAGCATTTTAACTTAACATTTATTAGATGATGTCATGATTTCTATTCCATTCTATACTCTTAAAACAAATACCACTACTTCCCTTTTCCCTTCTATAAACTAACAAGTATATTATGAACCAAGCATCCAAAATCCATGGCATTCTTTCAACAATCTAGGATGACCTTATAAAATAAATACAGTTATGTTTGAAAAACTACTAAAATTAGAGAACCTTCCAGAAAATTTTATCCAAAAACAATTAAACAAAGAAACTGCTCTAGGAAAGCAACAAGTACTTCACAAACATGTCATGTAGCATCCAAGCATCACCTAAGCTGAAGGTCATGATTCTCTCCCCAAGGCTTGTTCCCAAGTTTACAGTTTTGCTCAGATGGACCACCTAAGCCAGCCTTCATCTCATCTATTCCCACAACATTTGGATACAATAAATTCAGTATTTCACCACGCAATGAACTTAATTCTGCCTCTGGAATTGGGGGTATTTCCTCTGATGTGGATATTTGATTAAATTCAAGGTCCACCACAACTACCTACAACATTAAGACAGGAAAAAGCAGGATTAAAACTTAAACCACTGAAGACCAAGGGGTATAATTTAATACAAAAGACCATCCAGCAATACAAACATTCCATAGCAAACAATAATGTTAAATATATCACTCTTCCTCTTTTTAGCCAATGGTAGCAGTGAAAAATAAGCACGCGCTTAAGAACACATTGTTATACTGCCTGCTATTGCGAAATCAAAAATGAAGGGGTTGTTCAGGACAGAATTCACATGGCTTGTGGTAGAATGCAGACTAAGCTACTTCTAGATTATTACTCAAAATGAAAAACATAGTGAAGAAAGTGAGACTAACTATTCAACTTAAGAGATAACAACAGATTTTCCTAAGAATTTCAATTTTACGTGATGAATGACATCTCAGTTAAGCTAATATGCAAAAAAATGAGTTTGATATGAGACCAGCATATAGACTATTATCTTTTCACATTCAAGGGCAAATGTTGAGTAAGTGAACTACCCAATCAATTAAAAGTTAAGAAAAGAGTAATTAAAAACCAAACAAACAAATTTATACTCTCTAACCAGTTAGACAAAGACTTGGAAATTTAATTACTTACATTCAACCATAGTATATAAATTTAAAAAGAACTTTATTCAAGATTCTACCAATGTTTTTGGATTGTGCCAGTATGATCATATAAGATTGCGCATGTATTTATGAGGATTAAAAACAATTGTTACTCAGCAATGGATCTGATCTTAAGGCCTGCTTGGATATCAGCAATCGCCAATTCTACAGTAAACTCCATAAGGAACAAATTGAAAATTTTGAATAGAAGAAAATTGGAATTATATTCAGATAATGAAATTGATATGAAGTACTTACACCATCCATTGCGAGATTAGATGTATCAACACCTGAATGGAGACCCATCATGTATGGGGTAGGAGCATCAATATAGTCTACTCCACTGAAAAATAGTAATGGAATGTAGACATGCTTCAGAACAAGAAAGATTCAAAGATTAGATTACAGCACATCAAAAGGGTAGTGTGCAGGAATCAAAATAACATCAGTATGTAAGAACTTAAACGAAAAACTAATGAGAATTTTTTCTGAGATTCTCATCCATCATAATGAAAAATAATGGCAAAAGACAGGAGCTGGTGCATGTACTTATCTACATAAACATCATTCCTTTTCAATTACAAAAAGTTACCTGCCATCTAAATGGGTAGATTAAATGGCATATGGCTTCTGATACTAGAGTTAAGAGTGAATACCTGTGGAAAACAAAAGTAAAGTAAAATTATACAATTCTCACTAAGATCACACAAATCAAACAATAATCACACATAGAATCACAATGAAAAGAGCAATCCACATTGAATATGTGAGAAGATGTTAATACTGTGGATTCATTTGAATCCCTCAAATGCCATGGATCATCATTCTAAATTTAACCATAGCAGTGTAGTCAAGCCATGCACCTAGGCTCTAAGGTGTAACACAATCCAGAAAAAGCACCCCACTTCCTCCCTCCAGACAAAGCACAGTTACTAACAAACACAACCTAACACACCTTGGTAGACTTCCTTTGAAGGGAAAAAATGCAAAAAAAAAAAAAAAAAAAAAAGAAGGAAGAAGAAGAAGAAAAAAAGAGTAATTTAAATACGTTTACATTCAGCTCTTTAGATTTTATATTTTATAAGCTATTCCTTCAACCAACAAACAAGATAGTAATGTTCTTTAAAGAATGAAAAGAGGCACTACTATCAAAAGTTTACCTTTACAAGGATTAGATCTTCCAGAAAGGTAACTCTATGTCTCTGCATTTTTGAGTAATATTAATTGAGGCAGACTTTTCTTTTCTAAAGCATGAGCTAACTAAAATTGTTAACTATCAAAACTCAAGCAAACTTTTAATCTTTATTAACGAAATTACATATTTTAAGTTTGTTAGATATAATAACTAAAAGTCTCTTTGTTAATACAAATTTATGTATTATTCAGAATACAACACTGCTTCACTCAAATAAGCGCTCTCTTAACCCAAAATAATTAAATAAGTGCACTTTTATGCCTTGTGCATGAGGCACCAACTCCTTAAGATAACTTGCAAAATTGGCCTATGCTGAACAATTAAGTTTGGATTCAAGTGAATTAACCGGTTGATAGTCTTAGCCCTCACCCAACAAATAAGAATTAACATATCTACAGTCTGGTACAACAAAGTAAGAACTGTTGATTGGTTTAAGACACTTTAACTAGTGTAATCTTCAAAACTGCCACCATGTTAGGGTGCTATTTTTCAGAGGATTTAAGGTTGATTGTAGAAATTATAATTCCTTTCAAAAAGTCACCAGTGATTGATGCAATTCCTTTTTTTTCATTTTTCTTTGATTGGGAATTGATGCAATTCCATATGAAAGTCAAAGCCATCAATTATTGCCATGATTTTTGATAAAAAAAATTTACAAAAATGTAAAAACATGCTGATATAAAAGCAATAAGTTGGAGAAGTACTTGTTTGATCGAAGCAAAATCCTCCTTTCAAGCAGGACAGCTATAAAAAGTTTAATTAAGTTGTCAACATCCAGGCACTGTACCAGAGGCTGAAATGATATCTGCACTCAGAGATACAGATTTTTTAAGCTAGCTATTGCCCATAATATGCTAAATCATGGAACAGAAAACAATTAATTAAGCAATCAGCAAAAGGCATAATCACAATGCAATGATCAAAGAAACAAAATGTCATACATCTGCATGGGGGAGACCATCTTTTGGTGGAGCCTCCACAGAAAGCAAGCAATTTTCAATGGCGAACAAGACACGATCTTTTCCAGGAGTTGGCAAAGGTACATTGGAGACCATATATGCTATAACATCCCACAATGGCTTGCTGAAATTTTTGCACAGCTGAGAATTAAATGCAATGAAATGCATAGATTCCATATTCTTATTCATAAAATAATTTTAGTCAAAGTTGTACCATTAAAAAAGTTGGAAACAAAGAACAGAATCTACAGATATAATCCTTCTAAAAAAAAAAGAAAATATTGGCATACTCATAAGAAAAGTTTTCTAAATAAAAATGTCTGAATTTCGCCTGATTGTAATATCCACCACAAGCTATCAAGACTACAGAAAATGAAAAACTCACCTACTCCCGCTAGTGGAAAAGCAAAGGGAAAATATTTCCTCAAGTGCATTCTTAAGGACTCTGAAACTTGGCAAGCGTGAAACAAGACAGATACACTTGTCAGCAAAAGAATTTGGAGGTATGTGATATGCTTCAGCAATATCCTCACAAACTGGATCCCGGAATGCAATACAACTGACATAAATTTTTGATCCATCACCCTCTGCATAATATTTTGCATCAAGAGAAGGGATGAGCTTTCAATAAATATTAAAAATAAAAAATAAAAAAATTGATGATTTATTGCAAATTTCCACAAAATAAATTGTGTTCATCAAACAAATGAAAAATCACAAACATAAATCAAACTTAAAATTGTTCTCTCTTTAAAGGTGAAACAACTTTATCAATGAGAGGACCAATACTCCTTCCTTCATAAGGGTAAAAGGAAAACTGGAAGACAATATACTATTGAAAGTAATACAAAAGGCACAAGATAATACTTGAATGCATCACCAACTTGGAGCATACTGGGAGTGGGGAGGGCTAAAAGAAAGAGATGAAGATAAATATAGTGCAAAGACCTCCTCCCTACCAATACCCATGACCACCCCCTAATGCCTCTCCAGTAACATGAGTTTTAACTCACAATAGTTGGCTTTCTCCTTAGCTTCTACTTAGGCTTCCCCACTTCTTAATAATTTATATCATTTTCTTTATTCAAACACTCCTTCAAATTTTTGAGAAATCTTCTATTCCAGCTTCCAATTTTCTAGCTATAGTTGCCTTCAAGCCCACAATTTGTTAAAAAAAAAATGATATGGAGATTACAAAAGGAAAAGTTACTTTACTTTTGCCAAAGAAGATAAAAGGTTGAGCACCCCAAGACTGATATTATTTGATAATCAATAGATAAGAATTTCATATAATAACTGCATAGAATCAACTTATATCTAACTACACTCAGACATCAAACCCTAGCTGCTGATGTAGTGTAGACGGAAGAAACTTAAAGTATATAAGTATTCTCTCCCAAATGGACAGTGTTCTTGGAACTTCATTTGATTTTTTTTTTTTTTTTGGATAAAATGTAAAGTTTTATTTATCCAATAAAACTGGTATGTACACATCAGCAGCAAGTCATTTGCCACTATAAACAATTACGACTCCAATTAAAGAAAGAATCATCTATCTAAGACATTGGCACTTCATTTGAGAGTTTAATGTTCCAATTAATTGAATCTTTATTCTCTAAAATGAAATTTTTAATTGACTGTCATTTTGGGGCATTTACATGTAAGGCTTCTCTTGTCATTTCTAGAAATTAGAGAAGAAGAATGGTAGCACTAGATGCTAACATTCCATTCTAGAGCCGTAGTGAACGTGTAGGTTGTCATGCTCCAACAAGTAGTTTTTTCTTTTTGGAATTAATCACTTTTCATGATCAGATGGCTTTTCTTCTCTAGATTAAAGTTTCATAATACTTGTAAGTACACAATTTTAAATATAGAACTTACAAATAATCCTCAGCATCTTTAATGATAATTTTCAGAAAATTAGATGAAGACTTAAAGTGCAAACTATCTGATGAAACCACATAACATGCATTAAAGTTTAGTTATTAAAGTTGCGTCATCAAAAGCAAGAACAACGTATTCCAATTTTTTCAACATAGGAAAGAGAAACAGATTCAAACATAGTGCAATCTTGTTTACTGAGATACTTCACAATAGTATAAATATTCACACAGTAACTAGAACAGTTAATGAGTTGCAGTCTTACCTGTTAAAACGATTGGATAGCTCCGAGGATTCGTTGAGGGATTGTTGGAATCAAAACCTGATGAGTAGAATTCCACACCAGCCGGCAGCACACACTGCAATAGTATGAAATTCAGAGATACAAACCAATAAACAACTTCTCAACATGATTTCGAAATTATCAAATCAAATTTAAAGAAGAGCGAAGATTTAAAGCAGAAATGGAATTGAGAGAATGAGACTTACAGTGGAGAGCTGGGGAGGAGGAGGAGGGCAGAGGGAGTGATTGGGAGGAGGGTACTGATCGAGGAGAGAAGGCAAGTACATGACGCCGGTGCCATGGTACCCTTTCTGGCCGTCCAAAGTTCGGATCTCCGGTCCGATCCCGCATACTACGAAATACTCAAAAATCCTCGCCATTTTTCTCCTTTTTGGATCTAATTCTAGATTTCAACAGTTTTGAATTCGTTTGTTATAGATCTGATTCGCATTTTTCCCTGTGGAGACTAGGATGAGGGAAGTTCTGAGATACCGGAGACGACGGAGGGGAAGTAGAATTAACTGGAAATTTGAGATAAACACTGTTTTGATTATTCTGTGATGACTCCAGAAGAGGGTTTTTCCTTGATGCCAAGCTAAAACGCGAAAGTAAGGGTAAATAACGATTACCGTTAAATAAAATACTTGGAGCTTCATCAAACCCACATGCAGCTTGTTAAGATTGAGATGTATATATTTTTAAAATGAAAAAAAATATTATTATTAAACATAAATAATATCATAAAATATGTACAAAAATATAATAAAAATAATTAATTTGTAAATATTTTAATATTTTAATAAATTTAAGAGACATTTTAACACTCTATGATAAAAATTTATAAAATTAAAATCATTCTATAAGATCTAATTTATTTGATTTAAAAGTAATTAGTTCTAAGATTAAATTAAAAAAATTTCACACGAATATATAAAGGAAAAAAATATCTATTACAAAAATAATCTCAAAGAGAATAAGACAACAAAATTTTCGTACAAATGGAAAAGAAAATAAATTAAGTAAAATGTATTTGTAAAATAAATAAAAGTTTTACAAAAATTATAACAATTGTCCTTACATAACTTAAAACTCTTATCTACTAAAATGCATTCAAAGATCAAAGTATTTATAAAAAGAATTTTTTAATTTGTGTCTAATTTTTATTAAATGTAATATATTCAATTAATTTTACACAAATTTTTATACTAGATTCAATTAAAATAAAATATAAATATAAAATTAAAATATAATATAATATTTATATTTAAAATATGTAAAAATATATAAATTTGATATGAAATTTTATGTAAAATTAATTTAAAATATTATAATAAATAAAATTTAACATATATCCTAAAGGTAAAGTTGGACAGACCCTTTATAAAATAGTCACAAAATCAACTTATTTTTAGAAAAACAAGGAAAAAGAATAAAGAGAAAAGAAGACGGTAGAGTTGACTCTACCTGGTGTGTCCTCAACGGCAGTTAAGTTGGCGTAAGAAGAAGGGCTTAATTGCTTTGATCCCCTAGTTCAAGGGCTTATATGCATCAATTACAGTCTAGGGGCTTAATAGCGATTCTGGGGTTGGTTCAGGGGCTTAACTTATGGTTTTGCCTTTTTGATATGGGTATACTTTTCTTTTAACGTGAGTTTGGAGGCATTTCAACCATTAAGAATGGAGGACAAGAGCAAGATGGATTCTTGGGTGTGATTATGTGGGTATGGTTATGGTCACTAATTTTTTTTAAGGTAATTAAAACTGTGTTAAAAAAATATAAATTTAATTTAATTTAATTATTAAGAATAGTTAATAATGATAGACACCACTAAAATTTTTATTTTTACCAATTATTTATCAGTAACATGGATGTGTTTGTCGATGATATAAACTTTCACTGGCAAGAGCCATGTTATTGATCAATGTACAGTACCTTTTCCCTTTTAAAAGTACACTTCACATTGAGTAATAAAGGTTTTGTTGTTAAAAAAGAGAATTAGTAACATAATACTTATTGTTGAAATTTTTCGATGACCTAAAATTTTAGTAACATATACAATATTACTAAAATTATACATTAGCAACAAGATCCATGTTGTTAATACTTCCACAATCAGCAGCAACAAGGCCTATATTATTGAAACCAAGCATGAGCAACATGGCTTATGCTACTAAAATATAAAATTACAAAACTATCCTTCCTTTTATCTTCTTCCCCAATCCGACAATCCCCTTCTCACTCTATTCACATTACCTTCTCCCCCTCTTTCAACACTAGCATTGATGTTCTTACCCCTTCTCTATCAACGGTGCCAGCATTCTCTTCCTTGTTTCTCCCTCCTCCTACTTCACTTCCCTCCTTATTTCCCTTTTCTTCTTCCTTTTTTACTTTTCCACATGGGATCAGGGAACCTAGATCTAAGGCAAAACCAAAACCAAGTTTGGCAACCCAAATGAGGTTTCAACCTGATGTGGGTTGCATCCTAATCAAAATAAGGATTCAATTAGCACAACTTTCAACTAGAAT